GAGTTAAATGGTAATCCCACCTCCCAACCTCCTACAAAAAATTGTGCCCCAGAACCTGTGAATGTGACTTCTTTGAAAAAGGGGGTTTGCAGAAAGTTAAAGCTTTCAAGATGAGACCATCATGGATTCAATGGGCCCTAAACCCAATAACAAGTCCCCTCATAAGAGACACCCACCAAACTAGATTTGGTGGCATGTGTCTGTAATCTCAACACTCAGGCAGGGGGATTTCCATGAGTTCAAAGTCATCTTGGCCTATGTACCAGGCAATAACTGGAGTTACATATAGCAAGACCATAACCTCAAAAACTAGATGGGCTAGGATATACCTAGCTCAGGTGGTCAAGTACTTGCACAGTGTTCACAAAACCTTGAGTTAAATCTCTAGGACCACACAGACCCAGCATGGTGGTGCACACCTGTTATTCCATCACTAAGGAGGTAGAGGCAGGAGGTCCCTAACTCCAAAGTCATCTTGCTAAACGTCACAATTTTAAGGCAGCCTAGCCCACATTAAACCCTGTCTCCAAAACAAACAAAGCAACATCAAAAGCAGACTCACAACCACGTAGAGGGTCAGGTAAAGACAGAGGAGAGATTGGAGAAGCCCTACCACAAACTACAGAATGCCAAGCAAAGTGTCCTTCCTTGGGCTCTTAGGAGGGAATGTGGCTCTGATAACATCTCTTATATTTTAAACCTGAGCCTCACAGAGCAACCATGGGTTGATTGTCACTGAGCATGCACGCCATACACACACACACACACACACACACACACACACACACACACACACGCTCTGGACCTTATCGTTGAACACATTTCATTTGTTCAATAAATATTTGCTTAACGCCTACTATATACCAGCTTCTGTTCTAGAAACAGGGTTACATAGGTGAGCAAAGCCTCCACTTCTGTGCAATTAATTCCAAGTTAGCAACTCCTTCATTTGTTAATCTCTGGGTGGCCTCATTCTGGATGAGACTCAGCCCTTTCTTTTTCTTTCGTGATGATAAAGATTGAACCCAGAACCTCCCAAATGCTAGGCAATCTTTGCCACTAAGCTATTACATTTTTACATTTCAAAGCAGTATCTCTCTAAATTGCCTCAGATTGGCCTTGAACTCACACTGTACTAGAGATTGCCCTGCCTCAAACTCCTGAGTATCTGGATGCCTGGCCAACAGGCCCCACTCAAGATTCAGCCTTTCTTGCCACCCAATGTGACCAGTCCCTTATATTGAACTCTGTCTTGGGGCTGGAGAGATGAATGAGCAGTTACAAAAGTATACTATTCTTGCAGAAGACCTTCAGCTCCCAACACCTGAGTCAGGTTGCTCAAAACTGCATGTAACTCTAGCTCCAGAGAACCCAACGCCCTCTTCTGAACTCCTCAGGTATCCACACAGTGCTCCTGTCCACACACAGTGCTCCTATCCACACAGTGCTCTGTCCACTCACAGTGCTCCTGTCCACACACAGTGCTCCTGCCCGCACACAGTGCTCCTGTCCACACACAGTGCTCCTGCCCGCACACAGTGCTCCTACCCGCACACAGTGCTCCTGTCCACACACAGTGCTCCTGTCCACACACAGTGCTCCTATCCACACAGTGCTCCTGTCCACACACAGTGCTCCTGTCCACACACAGTGCTCCTACCCACACACAGTACTCCTACCCACACACAGTGCTCCTGTCCACTCACAGTGCTCCTGTCCACACACAGTGCTCCTGTCCACACACAGTGCTCCTGTCCACACACAGTGCTCCTACCCGCACACAGTGCTCCTGCCCGCACACAGTGCTCCTACCCGCACACAGTGCTCCTGTCCACACACAGTGCTCCTACCCACACACAGTGCTCCTGTCCACACACAGTGCTCCTGTCCACACACAGTGCTCCTGTCCACACACAGTGCTCCTGTCCACACACAGTGCTCCTGTCCACACACAGTGCTCCTGTCCACACACAGTGCTCCTACCCGCACACAGTGCTCCTGCCCACACACAGTGCTCCTGTCCACACACAGTGCTCCTGTCCACACACAGTGCTCCTACCCACACACAGTGCTCCTGCCCACACACAGTGCTCCTACCCACACACAGTGCTCCTGTCCACACACAGTGCTCCTGTCCACACACAGTGCTCCTACCCGCACACAGTGCTCCTGCCCGCACACAGTGCTCCTACCCGCACACAGTGCTCCTGTCCACACACAGTGCTCCTACCCACACACAGTGCTTCTACCCGCACACAGTGCTCCTGTCCACACACAGTGCTCCTGTCCACACACAGTGCTCCTGTCCACACACAGTGCTCCTATCCACACACAGTGCTCCTGTCCACACACAGTGCTCCTGTCCACACACAGTGCTCCTGTCCACACACAGTGCTCCTACCCACACACAAGGAACATACTCATATACACAATTTAAAATAAAATGTTTATAAATATATAAACTATCTTATTAGAATGCGTAAGGTGGTTTGTTTTCTCACAAGACCCTAACCATATAGATGCAGGATGAGGTGCTCCATTTGAAACTGTGCTGAGAGAAGATCCATTAAGCAGAGAAAGCCAAGTGATGCGAAGGGTTTCAAACCACAGGATGAAGATCTGTAAGAGCCAGGCACAGCGGCACACATCTTTAATCCCAGCACTTAGAGGGTAGAGGCAGACAGACCACTGTGAGTTCAAGGGCAGCCTGGTCTACACAACAAGTTCTAAGCTACAAAGTGAGACTCTGTCTAAAAACAGAAAAGAAAGGAGACAGAAAGAAATACAGGAAGGAAGGAAGGAAGGAAGGAAGGAAGGAAGGAAGGAAGGAAGGAAGGAAGGAAGGAAGGGGACAGAGAGAGAGAGAGAGAGAGAGAGAGAGAGAGAGAGAGAGAGAGAGAGAGAGAGAGAGAGAGAGAAAGAGAGGTCTCAGGTGAGCATTGCCTTTCAGGGAGAAAGACAAGGCTGTGGAGCCATGAATTACATCTGAGTGTGTTGTATAGCTCCTGATCTGAAAGCACAGACCTGTGATCCTAGCCACAAAGGAGAGTGAGTCTCAAGACCAACCTGAGCTGTATACTGAAACTGTTTCTCAAAATGAAAAATAAAAAGGGATTTGCAATATGATTCTGTGACAGAGTACTGGCTAACATTTGGGAGGTGCTATAATCCTGGAACTTGGGGATTAGAAGCAGGAGGATCAGAAGTTCAAGACTAACCCTAGCTCTATGACATGTTCCAGGCCAGTCTGGGTTTCAAGAGACCCTGTTCAAAAGAAGTTATGTGGATGGGAATATAGTTCAGAGAATGGGTTTGGTATAGTAAGTAAAGAAAGGAGCCGAGTAGCCAAGGTTGTGGGTAGGGTAGGTGGGGACTGCCTTTCCACTCAAAGCCATCAACTCAGTGGTTCTCAACCTGTGGGTCATGACCCCTCTGAGGGACAAACGACCTTTACACAGGGGCTACACATCAGATATCCTGCATATCAGATATTTACATTGCGATTCATAATAGTAGCAAAATTACAGCTATGAAATTGGATTTTCTGGTTGGGGGTCACCACAACCTGAGGAACTGTACTGAAGGGTCTCAGCACCGGGAAGTTTGAGAACCACTGCTTCCCATGGTTCCCAACGATGGCCTGGTAGTCTTGCCTCCGTTCGCTCTTCAGCTTCAGCTCACTCCGTTTCTTACGCACTCCCAGCTATGTCCAGTTGTGATTCCCTCCCAGGGTCTTCTCACTTGCTGTTCCTTCTGCCAGGGATATCAGCCCCCAGTCAGTTCGTTCTCATGTCCTTTGAATCCTGTCCTTAGACTTCGCCTAACCCTACCCGAACTGAATACGCTCTGAGCTCCCCTCCCCCCAGCCACACGTTGTTTTCCTCCGTAGCACTTATCACTCCACCACACTTTTATCAGCACTATGGATTTCTTAATACTTATTTACATAGTCTCAACACCTAGAATTTTATCTGTCACATTGCAGGGCTCTCTTCTAATTCACCAACTCGGGTCATTAATTCACTAGGAGTGTGATCTGATGTATAGTGTGTGTACATATCTCTGTGTCTCTTTCTCTTTCTGTGTCTGTCTCTCTTTGTGTGGGTTGGAGGGAGGGAGGAAAGAGGGAGAGAGGGAGGGAGAGGGGGAGGGAGAGATGTTGACAACTAAACCCAAGGCTTCATACATGCTAGCCACACTGCCATTGAACTACATCTTCAATCTGATACACAATTTCAAACAAGAAAATAGGATGTGGAAAAAGACTAAGGCCTTGGGGACAAGAGCAGCAGAAGAGAAATGACTTAGGGAAACGTGAAACAACCTAAGCAAGAGATGACAGTAGCTTAGACTGCACCCCCAGTTACAGAAGTGGCCAGCAGAGATTAGAGTTAGGGTTTGGAGCAAGAGCAGTGGTGGCACACACCTTTAGTTCCAGCACTCAGAAGGCAGAGGCTGGAGGATCTCGGTAGCTCGAGGCCAGCCTGTTCTACACAGTGAGTTCCAGGACAGCAAGGACTATGATTTTTTTGTTTTTTGTTTTTCAAGACAGGGTTTCTCTGTATTGTTTTGGAGGCTGTCCTGGAACTCGCTCTGTAGACCAGACTGACCTTGAACTCACAAAGATCCACCTGCCTCTGCCTCCTGAGTGCTGGGATTAAAGGCGTGCTCCACCAACGCCTAAAATCTATCTTTTTATCTGTTTGTTTTGAGATAGTTTCTCTACATAGTCCTTGCTTGCCAGGCGTTGGTGGCCGATCTTTGTGAGTTCAAGGCCAGCCTGGTCTACAGAGCAAGTTCTAGGATAGCCTCCAAAACAATACAGAGAAACCCTGTCTCGAAAAACCAAAAAAGAAAAGAGAGAGAGAGATTTTGCAGGCAGGAGAGATACAATTTGGTAATGAAGTAAACTTGGGAAACTGAGTGTCAAAGTGTCTCACAGGATGAGGCATCTTATCTCCAAGTAGGGAAGACTACACTGGTATAGAGATCAGAAAAAGGGGCTTGTTTTGGCAGTACACATACTAATACTGGAACAGTACAGAGAATATTAGCATGGTTCGTGCATGAGGATGAAGGTCAGATTCATGAAGTGTTCTGTAATTTTAAAAAAGAACAAAGGACTGGATGTAGGGTCACACACCTTTAGTTCCAGCACTGGGAAGGCAGTTCTCATAACCTGGAGGTCAGGGACACACTGTATAGGAATTTATGACTAGTCTACGTGACCTGAGACCAGTTTACCCAAGATGGTTTTAGTACTTAAAGTATTCTTAGGATTACTTGCACAAAAAGGCGTGACTATGGTTCAGTGGCCCACTACATTAAGTGACTTCAAGGTGTATTATTAACTCTGGCTGTGAGGCCCAATAGAAGTTCCAGCCCCTTAGAAAGAAGTATTTCCATAGCATTGTACTGCCACAAGAGAAGACGAGAGAACTGAGGGGAAGTCACACAGAGCAGCAGTCCTTAGAGATGCAGAGTCGGGTGGGAGTCCTGTCTGCAGAGCTCTAAGGGTCATAATAGAGTGCATAGATTCACTACTGACCAAGGGAAAAGATGTCAGAAGGGAAATGAAGAGGTAAGGAGTCTGCGCTGCCAGTTGGGATCTTCTGGCGTCCTTAAGTGTTGTGTGGGCCACATGATTACAGTTGTGCGCTGAAGTTCTCTGAAGAACTGTTGACCTTTCTTCCTGATTGTATTTATTTATTTATTTACATGTTTTGGTGGTGCATGCACAAGTGGGCATGTGTCCCAGCATGTATGTGTAGAGGCTAGAGAAGGGATTCATGTGTCCTCTGTCACTTTCTGCCTCATTCTCATGAAACAGAATCTCTCACTAGTCCTGGAGGAGGCCATTTGGTTTTTGGTCTTTGGTTTTCGTTGTTGTTGTTTTAGCTTGGTGAGCAAGCTCCAGTTACCCTCTTATCTCTGCACTACCAACTCTAGGGTTACTGGTTCGTGCAACTCCGCCTGACTTTTCAACTGATTTTTAAAACGTGATGGATGTTTTGTCTGTACGTGTAGCCGTGCACCACGCACATGTGGTGCTTTCAGGGGCCAGAAAACAGCACTGGATTCCCCAACTCTCCGCTTTTGTAAACAATGCTTGCTTCCTACAGATGTCTCTATACCTCACAATTTTGGTTTTCTGCCTTCAAAAACTCAACAAATTGGGGGGCATGACGGGCATGACTGCTTCATGATACTCTGCCTGGGACAGTCCTGCCAGTAGTGACCAAATGCTCCATATATTTTTCACTTATTTAGGCCTCTTGGTGTTTTTTTTTCCTACCCCATTTAAGAAAACAATGTAACAATCAATGTACTTGCCTTGAATTTCCCATGTAATCAATCAACTTTTATAACCTCAGCTGGCACATAGCTGCAATCTTAAGTTATGCACACTTCCATGTCCCTGACCCAGATAAAGCGAAAGTGTTATTTGCTGAAAGTGCCAAGCACAGAGCTTGAAAGAAACTCGCTAAAGGTTGAAAGCAACCATTTATGAATATTGGTTGATAAACAATGATGTTTGTTATCTGGGTCAGTTCGGATCAATTGGAGTTAGTGACTTAATCCCTTGTAAAATTCTGCTAAAGATTTCTGTGAAGTTTCCCATTCCTTCCCTGTGTGATGCTTTCTGTTGTTCAATAAATATAGAGCAAAGCCCCTTGTGATGACAGACATGTGCAAACATAACAGACACACAGAAATACACAGAGACAGAAAAGACAGACCAACAGACACAGATACAAACCCAGGCACAGATTCAGATTTATATAACAGACAGACAGAGGGCAGAAGACACGGGGAACATGAGGTAGAGAATTCAAATCTGAACTCACTCTTGGTTAAATGAATTCAAGGAGAAGTGCTTTTAATTTCTTTCCTTAATGAGACAACGACACACTGTTGGTAACTAACCCTTTAGTCCTCAGACTCTCTGGCACTTGGGACCAGCTGAACCCAAAGATGCTGCTCTCCAGTGTGTCCCCTCAAGTATAGGATCCACAAGGTGAGGATCCACACAGGCAACAGCTCCTGTTTGTTTTTTTGTTGTTGGAGACAGTCTCCTGTAGTCCCGGCTGAGAACTAACTCTCTGTGAAGTTGATACCCTTCTACTTCTGCTCTTGCTGCCTCCAATTCCCAAGTGCCGGGTATTACAGGCATGTTACAGACACTGTTGGCATTCCTAGCTCTTTTCTTCTGAAAAAGAAAATCAAAATAGATAAGGGGAAAACACAGAAAACCGCAGAAGAAAAGTTAAAGTTTAAAAAAATACTGCATTTCAATAGCCACCTAAAGGGAAAAAAAATCAAACTAAAAAAAATAATGGAAACATTTGTTTCATTTCCTCTTGAGACAAAGTCTCCAAAAGCTCAGGCTGGCCTTAATTAACTTGCTGTGTGGCTGAGGATGACTTTGAACTCCTAACTCTCCTGACTTTCTCTGCCTCCCATGTGCTGCCCAGCTCAACATGGTTAATCTCTCTAGGAAAAAAGAAATTCTAGAAATTTTTAACAAAAACAATCAGGCTGGAGAAATGCCTCAGGAGTTAAGAGCACCAGCTGCTCTTCCAGAAGACCCAGGTTCAATTACCAGCACCCACATGGAGGCTTACAGCTGTCTGCAACTTCACGTTCAGGGAATCTGAACCCCTCTTCTGGCTTCTGTGGGCACCAAGAAATGCATATGTGCACAGAAATACATGTAAGCAAAATACATACACATATAAAAATAAAAAAATAAATAAATCTTTAAAAAAACAACATTTCAAGAAAAATGAGTAAAGGAAAGAAACAAAAAAGAGGAGAAAGTGAGGAACAAAAGAAAAGGAAAGAGAAAATGAAGGGAGTGAAGAGAAGGGGAGGGGAGGAGAAGAGAAGGAAGGGGAGGAGAGAAGGGGAGAGAAGAGGAAGGGAGAAGGAAAGGGAAGAGGAAAGAGACAGGGGAAAGGAGGGGAGAAAAGGGAGGAGAGAAGAGGAAGGGTGTGGAGGGAAGAGGAAGGGAGAAATGGGGAGGAAAATGTCATCCTTCATTGCAAGCCTTCATCATCTGCATGATTTTTTTGAGACAGGGTTTCTCTGTATAGCCTTGGTTGTCCTGGAATCAGCTCTGTAGACCAGGCTGACCTGGAACTCACGGAGATCCGCCTGCCTCTGCTTCCTGAGTGCTGGGATTAAAGGTGTGCGCCACCACCACCTGGCCATCTGCACGATCTTTGATCTTCCACTCATTTCCCCACCTCTCTCTCCTATACAATGTTTGCCTTTCAACATGCAGAAGAGCTTTATGAGGCATGAGGTGAGGATAAGCTCTGCCTGCCTAGATCCCTTTCACACAGATTCACTTGGGCAATGACAAGAGGCTACAGTAAGGGCAAACTATGTTTTATCACTCACATTTGGAATCATTCCTTAAAACAATTGGTTTTATTTCTCCTGGCTATGACACCAGCATGGAAGTAGAGTAATATCCCTACACATTCAAATATTTCCAAGTATCACTGCGCTTCCCTAATCAGTTGGCCTGTGTACTGTCCATAGCACTGTTTCCTAACTTTGTTCAAATCACCAACTTCTTGTCCCTAATATTTGCTTATGTCTTTTGTGCTATAGTGGAAATCTGTCATTCCAAAGGTAGGAATCAAAGCCATACTCATAAGACAAGGAACTAGACCACTTCCTTTAAAAATAATTTTTAGATTTATTTATTTTATGTGTATGGGTGTTTTGCTGACACCTATGTCTGAAGTACCCACACAAGTCAGAAGACGACGTTTCAAATCCCCTGGCCCTTGAGTTGCTGAGGGGGTCCCGGCAAGCGTCATGGTTGGTAGAGAAACATCCAAGTGAGATAAGAAGGAAACTCAATTCAGCCTGACTTAGCAGGGCTGGTTCAGACTTGTGGAGTCTGACACCAGGCCAGTTTGTTTTAGACATATTTGTGTACAGTACAATTTTGAAAAAAAAATCCTGGTAGCAATTATCTCAACCCCACATACACAGTAATGCTTAAGGCATGACTACATCAAAACTCTTGCAAAGTACATGTGACCTGTACCATGAAGACGGGCTGTGTTGTTTAAGGGCCGAGGATCTGGTGTGGTCTCTGACGGAGACAGTGTAGAAAGCACCAGGCTATAGATTACATGTGGCATCTCCCCTAAGGATGGGTTTGATTGATTGAGTAACAAAGCTAAAGATAAATGTCTAGGAAGGGACAGTCTGAGTTAAACATTCCGGAGGAATCAGATAAGGACTGTGGCTACAGATAGCAAAGGTCACCAGGATATAGCAACATCCACTCCAGCCTTCTGGGTGGAAATGGGTGTACATTTCCTCCATTGAGGAGATGGCCTTTGGTGACTAATGGTCCTGGTTTCCTCACTGCCTTTCTCTGCGCACTCTTGATGTGTGTGTTGGGAAACAAACCTGGGTCCTCTGCAGGAACAGCAAGCGCTCTAAACTGCCCAGCCACCTCTCCACACCGCAACCCCTCGCTCATTCTTTTTAGCATCCCCAGCTTACTTCTTTTGTGATTGTTTTGGGGTTTTGTTTTATGCTGTTTTAGACAGGGTTTCTCAATGTAGCCTTGACTATCCTGGAACTCAATTTGTAGATCAAGCTGGCCTCTAACTCAGAGATCCGCCTGCCTCTGCCTCCTGAGTGCTGGGATTAAAAGCATGTGTCCCCACCACCCAGCTCCGGGTTACTTCTTATCCAGGAAAAGAGTGGAAGAGACTTTCTTTACTCCTGATTTCAAATTACCCATCACAAAGGCCAGAAAGGTAGCGCTAATCCCACCAGTTGGTTGAGAGTAAGACCACTACCACAGTTTAAACTCAAATATGAAACGAGCAAATATTTAATTAAACACTGGTCAGGTTGATGGACTTTCTGGCCAGGTCTATCTCTGGTTTGTAATAAAATGACCCCCAAGTCACAGTGTGCAGGGTCTTCAAAAGACAAAACCCATGGCCGGGCCGTGGTGGCGCACGCCTTTAATCCCAGCACTCGGGAGGCAGAGGCAGGCAGATCTCTGTGAGTTTGAGGCTGGGCTGGACCGACAGGCTCCAAAACAATACAGAGAAACCCTGACTC